CGATCTACCCCCATCCGTCCCCTCTAGAGCCTCTTGTTCTCTCCTGCTCCCCCGCCTTTGCCCTCTCTGTGCCCCCCAGCTGTGGGGTGAGGAGGGACGCTCTGTGGGGCTCGGGTTTGTTTTGGAGCTGGCTGGAGGGGAGGAGCGATATCAGCAGGAGCCAGATGTCGAGCTCTTTTGTTTTCAGAAACTGCCTGATAAGCCCTTTGGCTTCCCCCCATCCCCAGGTAGAAAGATGCCTTTGTGTAAGCTGGAGCCTGGCAGCAAAAGCCAAAGAAGGGAAGGTTTTGAAGGAGTCAACCACACGGGACAGCGAGGGCCCTTGGTCCTGGCCGGGAGCTGGGGCGGGCAGTCACTATGCACAAGGCCTTCTTTCTGTTGGACCTGGAAAATGAGACTGGTGGTTGTAGTCTTCGTCAGTTTAAACACAACGTCATCCAGCTTCCAGATTTCCTATTAAGTTGTTACCTCTGCTTCAAACAGAGAAGCAATCTTTTTGGTATGCTTTAAGCGTGTAACCTTTCAACTGTGAGAGTTTTAAAAAGGCTTTTTTTATGGTTGGTTGTGATTACAATGTTGGGAGTTACAAATCCAGTCTGAGAAGTCTTGTCATTAGTGAGTAATTACTTTGTGGAATGCTTTCATGTATTCACGTTTTGCTTTAATTTTGTTTAGTGTGGTCTCAGGTTTCTTTTGGGATTGTGTTACACTGAGTTATGATGAGACAACCTCTTAAGCAAAAGCTGTACCTTGACATACCTGTTGCAGAGTTTTGTATGGGTGTACCTGATTAAATTTCATACAGGTGTACCTGTCAGTGCATTCTTGTTTTTTTAAGCTAATTTTAAACAATGTGCTCTCTGCTGTAAGAAGATCCCTGGGGTAGGCTATGTTGCTAAATTAGCTGTCTAGTTAATAGGGATGAATGAGAAGAGTTCTGCATGTACTTTTAAATTCTTCTGGTTTCACCTAATGATCTCATGTAGTCCAGAAACCCAAGTTTCCTGTGTAAATTTCCTGGCAAAGCTGCTTTGGAGTAATGTTTACTTGAAACTTTGGACTCTTTTGGAGAAGCCTGTAAGCTGGGGGAGTTCAGTGGCTCTTGTCGGTTTCTTTTACACTTCCTCTCAGTCCTGCTTTGTTCTTTAAACATAGTTTCTTTCTGGGGACAGTTGTTGGGTATTTTAATTCCTCATTATTTTGGCAATGAAATACATTGAAAAGCTGGGTTTATGAGGATAATTTGTTTGACTTGTGTTCTTTTCTTCTTTTACAGCATTGTCACTGAAGTTGCAGTTGGTGTGAAGGTAGGATGTACACTTAGCAAATAAGGGGGCAAATTCTTGGTACAAAATGAACTACTTTGAGCATCAGTAATTACAAGTTTTAAGGTTTTAACTAATCATTGTCAGCTGATATTTAGTCAGCAGTATATGCTTTATTATTCAAAAATCCCTAGAGGTAAATTGGAGGCTCTACACAAAAGACTTTTCTAGGTACTGAACTGTAAACAGTGGTTCTGGATTACTGTAGCTTCTTATTTTAAAACGTAATTTTTCAGATCTTTTTTCAAAAAAACACTTTATCGTTGTGTGATGACTGTAAATGACATGTTTTCTTCTCCTCTCTCTCTGTTTTTGAAAACAGTTACCACTGAAGTTAAAAAAATGACTGTAATAGGACACAAAAATATGGGAGGCAGAATTTGTTATGTAGACAGAAGTGGGCGTTTGCTTTGCTTTTTAGTTCTCAAGTTCAGTTACGAATACCTGTTATAACAAGGAAGGAGCTTCCAAATGGTTGTTAATTTACTATTTATTTCACTTGTGTATTTAAATCTGTTTTAGGAATTAGATCAGTACTTTGTAGAAGCAGACTGAGAAATAATGAGAGTGCAAAGATATATGGGACAGGGGAACTTTAAGTTACGTTGGTGAGTGCATGTAAGGAATTCTGTTTCAGTGTGAGAAATGCATTGGTCCAGAGACTTTGTAGCTATACTACATAGCTGCCTTTTCACCTGAAGCTGATCTGTGTTAACTGCTTGGTGAGCCAGGTTTTGTCTAGTAAGGCTCTTTGGCTCAGATTCAGTATTGGTCCTCCTGGATTTGGACTAGTTCTTACATAATACTGCTAGCCCGTAGATACAGCAGCTATCCTGTCAGATATGCCTGTATTATGTTTCTGAGCAACCTTGCTTCTAGGAGGAGCTGTAAGAAGTCAGTTGTATTTTGGACCCATCTGACTCCACATATTCATGCAGTATTGGAGACAAGCTTAAAATCACTCTGAATCAAGAGAAAAGTGTAATTATTAAAGTACTTATGTGGGAGCCAATCCATATGAGAAACATGGGATGATTGTTTCTCAGCTGGCTAGGAGAACGAAGTGTTAACTGATTAAAACTTCAGGAATGTATTTAACAGTTTGGAGGAATATCTAAGGAACTTCAAGCCTTTCAGAAGTAAGCTGCCCCATGTGAATAGCTTTGGGGCAAAACAGTTTACAAATTGCCCTCAGTCATGTCCAATGAAGAAGCAATTTCAGGTAGACTTGTGTGTTGCTTGAACCCTAAATTCTGACATTCTCACTTCAGGAGAAGTAAATGGATTTGGTATCCTTTTCATTCTTAACTAAGAGTGACTTAAAATCTTATCAGAATTTGGGTGTTCATGAAGTATGTTGTGTGTAGTGTGATTTTTTTGGAACCAAATTTCCAGAAACTAGCCAGACAATGAAATAAAACACTTTCTGTTCATTGTAGAAGTTACATTATGAATATATATTTAAAAAAAGAAGGCAAGACAGGTGTATCAGAGGTAGTGATTAAATAGAACGGCACAGAAGTGTCAGGAAGGTGTGCTCTTTGCCTTGTAAGAATGGACTTATTCTCTGGATTTTGAAAGGAAACAATCCATTTGTGCATGCAAGTAGTGAGAATAAATAAAAACTATGATGACTTTCAGAAAAAAGCTGTTAAATATGGGAGGAGTAAACTGGGTTGTTATTCTGGAGCTTCTGTAATTATCTCAAGACACGAGGAAGAACAGGAAAGTGAATTTCTCGCCAATTGATAGGTGCAGTTTGGGTAGCAGTCCGATGCTAACTTCAGTCATGTTTTGTGGAAGGCCTTGTAAATGTTTGTCCTTTATGTTCCTTGGTGACTGATCATTGATCTAGATGAACTGATGTTTTGAAAGTTGAGGAGTGCTTTAACTGTTGGTGGTATATAAGGAACTGGGAACATTCATCTCGCCTTTCCTTGGCTGTTAGCTTTTTTTGGGGGTGCTTTGGGACTGTCTGGGGAGCAAGTTTTGAGTCCAGGGAGTTCCATTGGCATTTTTAATGCTGCTTTGACACTGCTTTTATTGTGACCGGATGGCTGTTGGAAGTGGGCTGGGGTTTACCTATGTGAAATCAGCATACTTAGGGTATTTGTTTGACCTGATGCTTTCTTGAGATTTTGCATCTACTGTATATATGCTGATCAGTTATACAGCATGTTTGTGATATATTCAGTTATACTTGGAGAAAGGGGTTGTGACATATGACCCTTCTGTTTGGAAAATTTCCTTTATTTTGTCGTCAGTCCTACAGATATAAAATTTGAAAATTATATTAACTATTGTCTTTCTGGTTTCTCTCTTAAATGGAAAGTGAACATATTAGTTATTTTTTTAAACCCATTCCTAAAAGAGCAATAGTAGAAGTTAACTACTGCAGTCTGGGAGTTGTCTTTGAATTTAAAAAAGACTTTTGAGCTTTGGGGAGTACATATGGGCAAGACAAGTATAAAGTAAAAGGAATTCTTGTTTATAATGTTTTATTAACAGTTTTATAGTCTCAGAGTTACCTGCTAATGGTGCTACTAAATTTGAAGCTATTACCTTTTATTTGTGCTGTACGCTTTTATTTTATTTAAAAATGTTTTGTTCATCCAACTGTCAAATGCTCAATCTTTATTTTATTTACGTGTTGAGTCACTAGAAATTAACATCAAAAGCTGAGGAAAACATAAATCTCGGAATGGAGGTGGAAAAAATGAGAAATACTATTTGAAAACTCAGTTTATTTACATAGAGTAAATGTGGCGATTTGCACAGCTCAAAATATGCAGTGGGAGCACGCTTCCCAGTTAAAATCTGTTAGAGGAGCAGTGTGCTTTCATTTCTGAAAGTGCTAGAACACGTCAAACCCTGTCATCTCTTAAGTACATAGGAAATAATCCATATTTTGTTTGATCCGTTGTGTCTTGTTTTGCTTACCTAGGATTCATGGAGGCAAGGAAATGCCACTCTGCACACAGTTCAGCCCTTAGGGTAAAATTTACAAAATAATTCAAGAATGAACTTTAGCTCTGTGTCTGGTGTGACTTTGTGAACTCCTGTTGCATGCAAGAAGTTTGTGTAAAGTATTTTTTTAATAGAACAGAGCTAAGGCTTCCAGTAATGATAGTATATTACATATTTAATAGGTTTTTAAAAAAAATTTCAGTTTATTGAAGAAATTCTATACATCTTAAATTTATAGATTTTTTTTTTATGCGTAGTTTTAAAAATTGCCGTATTATCCAAAATGTTTGCTTTTTTGTCTTAAAAAGGTACATCTTGGTTGCTCTGTTTTTATTACGTGAGGTCCTTAGTCACTAAAAATGAGATGGCCTGCTAGTTAACTTCTAGTCTCAAACTTCTCAAACTTCACTCTGCATAAGTAAACTGATTTGGCAGTTGGAGTGATAGAGCGTTTCTCAACTGTTGGAGTGAATGCATGAAGTATATAATGTATCTTTTCTCTGGAGTAATTAAAAGAATCTTTGGAGGGGTATAAAATGTGATGTAAAGTCTGTGCATCGCACAAGTGCAGGGAATAACCTGGGTGAACTTCTGGTGCGTGTTGAAGATGACAGTTCTCTTTTACTGTACTGCAGTGCGTGCCACTTCAGTCTAACGTATTGTCTTTGTCCTGGGTGGCACACGTAGCTGTGCAGTAAGTGGGGCCTGAACAACTGACTGACTCATTTTGTGTATGTGCATTGCACATTGCAGAGTGGCTGAGGGTGTACTTCTTCCTGATGGGAGAAAAGCAGCAGTCATTCCTTAATGGATGCATTTTTTGGGAATTTGTGGTGGTGTTGACACTACTTTGGGCTACACTGGCCAGAAACTGAGCTTCAGCTGCCAAGTGTGGACAGCCCCAGTTATACCTAGGAGGGGAAACACATATATTTTGTAGACATAGTTTTGTAATGTTTAAAGATGAGGGTGTGGCCTTTTTCCCCTCCGAAGTCAAGGCATCAGCCTTTGTAGTATGCTTAAGAAAAGAGGAAATTCTTGCTGTGTATTTGTTGGTTATGTTAGGGTTGGGTGGAAGATGCTAAGAAGCACTGTCCTAGTACTCTCTAAGTTTTCCAAACAGTAATGTGTCACAAAGTCTCTCTTTTTCCTGGTTGCTGAAATTTAACATGGAAGAATATAATAGTATGGGCGATGGGCAGTAGCTAAAACCAGAATAGACATGATGGAGGAAAGGAAGAGAGCACAAAGTAGCAGTGTCTGTAAGTACTCTTGAAGCAGTGTGCACTTCTTTTTTTAACTCAAGTTCTGAGGGCTAATCTCTTCTCTTACAAAGTTACAGAACACTGACCCTTTTTTGCTGCTAATAACAGAGTTTTCTTGTGGTGGAAACAAATACCGTGGATATGTTGTGACACTTTATTTGAGCTGTATTATGAAAATGTGTAGAAAAAAGTCAGAAATTCCAGTAAGTTGGCAGAAGATAAGTTTAGACTAAGCTTAAAAAGACCAAGAAAATTTATTTAAATAGCTTTTTTTCTCTTGGTTTCTTCTTTATTCTCTGAAATCTATTTTGTCTTCACTGTCATCATTCTAGATATGTAGAAGGAAGGGAGTGGTAGGATAAAAACCAGTTTGACTTGTATATACAGACAAATCCCATGTGACAGTCTGTTTTGTTGTTTGTAAAATACCAGCATGATAGTTCAGATATCTTTGCATGTCTAATATAACTACTAGTAGATCAGACAAAGAGTCTGCTAAGGGCAATTATATGAGAAAAATGTTTTGTTTGTGAATTGGAGGAACTCTTAATTTTGTGTTAGCTGGGGTATTTTTAAGCCATCTTTTGTGCTCAATAATACTTAGTCGTTGCAACAGTAGACAGCAAAAAATGTGCAAAGCATCAAGCAGTGAAGTAAGAATAGAGTGTGATGATGTTCAGAAGTTTAGGACTGGCATCTTGATTTGTCTTTTCAGAAGTGGTATGGGGATCACGTTCTTGGTGGCAAAAA